ACTTAATTTATATCTACTTATATTCATGTAATTAAGAGTTTTAATGATTTGGCCGATTAATCGAAAAAATAATCAATAGATTAATCGATTATTAAAGTAAATGTTAGTTGCAGCCCTAATAGCCACATCTGCTTTTATGTTATGATCAGATTTTTCCAGGGTTATCTCCATGCAGACAATGTAAAATCCCATTCTGGTCATATTCTAAAGTGTGGCTAAAAAGATAGAAGGGTTTGTTTTTGAAATGACCTGCCTGCAGTCTTGTCCAAAACCTGTCAGCAGTAGAGGATATTGGATCATTTTGAAGCTAAAAATGTAATTACAACAACCCTATACTGTTGGATATTTTGAGACAAAATCCTTAATCCACTAAAACACTTTGTTTTTCCCCACAGAGGCCGATTGTTGGTCGGGACCTTCGTTGCTCTCTTCTTTAATCTGTTGACTTTGCTGTCTGTCAGGAACAAACCATTCACCTACGTTTCTGAAGGTACGTCTACCCTAAATCATATCTAATCTCCAAAATTTTGAAAATGCAGTTTTGTGGTAGTTGGGTTTTGGTGATTCTTCACCATTCACTTTTAGGGGGATGCTCTTTTAATATGATAAGGTGTAGAAAAAAATATAGTCAAAAGATTTTTTGTTTGTTTTCCTTTAATCTCAGCTTTTTAAATCTCATACATTAAACACTTTAGGAACATAAATAAAAAAATGTTTTGATACAACTCAGTTTTTACACAACTACATTCCTTTTAGTGTGTTTTTGCCTGCCCTGTGTGCTGTCCTTCCCTTTCTGCTCCTCAGTGAATATGGGAATCATCATTGCAACCAGTTACTCAGCAGATTCTGGCTCAGTAGCTTCTATATTACCGAGCAGGCTTTTCTATCTCAGATTTTTCCATCATGGCTGCTTCCAGTGAAGCTGTATAATTTCAGACTTCATTTCATCTCTAGTTAGACATTTTTTGTTCAGGAAATTAAGTAAGAAGGTCATTGTTATTCAGTATGTAAAGTCAAACAAATAAAAAAAAAGAAGAGGAGGTTAAAATAAAGCAACTAGATACTGATCAACAAAGAGTTTGGTTTGTTACAATAGTATGTCACCAAATACTTTAACTGTATAACAGAAAGCTGATGGTGCTGACATTTCAGACAGAAAACACCCCTCAACACTTCTTCAAAAGTGTTATAGTTTTCTCATCCCTTCTTTTCTCCCTTCGTAGCTTTTCTGTTTCCTCCTTTCCTTCTCCTTTTTTTTGGTCTTTTTTCTCTCTTCTCTTCAGCTGACTCATTATTGGTTCACTGAGGCGTGAGGTCAGTGTGTTTTAGCTGTTTGTTGTTGCTTTTCAGAACAGTCTCAACATCACTTAACATCTGACATTTCGGAAAGGGAGGGGTGTTCAAACTATAAACACACACACAAAAACACACACACACACCATCAGGGACTATAAAAGTGCATTATGCAATGTGTTCCAGACAGCAGTAATGCAGTGTTCTGTGTGGTCGTGCTTCAGAACGACACTCTGAAATGTCCTCTTCAAATACTCAGATCATAAATAAGTCACTCCGTTAAAATGTTTGTTTACACCGACTCAGCCTTGCTGGCAAAACAAACAAAGCACACACTTATTTGCTGATACACGCTGAGCTGAAGTGGGATGGGATAGAGTGTGACGAGTCCTTGACCTGACACCAAACCTTCAGGCTGTGCCATGTTGCTGAACATTAAAGGTGGGACAGCGCACCAGAGCAAGAGTGCTCATCTTTGTTTAAAGATGTTTTTAGCCCTCATCATGAAGGAGACGCAAACTTGTCTGCAAGTAAAACTAAAAATTGCTCTGAAGGAAAAGTTGTTGATGCCTGTAAAGCTGTGAGGTTGTTTCAAACAATGCTGGAATCTAACGAAGCATCTGATTAAGGCAGCTGATAGAAACAGCTGGGCCTGATTTCTTACGCATGGTTGAACCAAATATTTTTTACACTCTTAAACGGGAAAAAATATCCGTTTTCACAAACATACAAGTCTCATTGTTAGCTGAAAAGCTGAAGCACCCTCTTAGAAAGGTGATAGGTAAAAACATAAATAAATAAAAAATTACTAAAGTTAGAAAAGTTTTCTTTTTCCAAACAAATGTAGCTTTCCTGATTCCAATATTATTTTGATTTCTACAAAAGTTAATAAACAAAGCCTATGTAATACGAAGTTAGATCTTTTGAAATGTACTTGAAGCGTCGACGTGTTTTTTGACGCTGAAATCGCATTCAGTGTGTGAACGCAGCATTGTAGTTTTTCTTCCATTTTACTAATTTTTCAGTCAAGTTTAAACCAAAACCACATAAACAACTTGCACATCATTTTCCTTCAGGTTTATGTTTATGGAAAGAAGGACAAGTGGAACATTTTGGATCATGTTACCAAACAACCTTTGCAACAAAAACACAATATAGACATTGTTGGTACATTTAAAAATAAATCACAACTTCGATCACACAACATCATATTTACTCTGTACATCTGTTGAAAACACAAAACAGTACACCACTGATAATTACTTTTTAAGACGGATAATAAAGGCAAACAATGACTATGCATAAAAGCGCCACAAGTACAAGTAGTGTGGCAGTGAAGACAAAGTGTTAACATATCATAGCATGAAATAACGAAATGTTATTGTTGGGTCTCTGGCTTTTGTAATATTTCATATTTGTGAGATATTAATTATGTGACGTTTCAAAGTTCATGCTAGAGAATTTCTCAACATGACCAATAAACCAACCTGGTGTCGCTGGAGATCAGTCTGCTTACGCTATCAGATACATTTCCCTACAGCAAGATATCCATAGGCACATGTACAAAAGTGAGATGAGGAAACATTTTAAAGGCATTACAGAAATTATTTTTGAACTTTGGCTGCTTTTTCATGCAGTTTTAGTCCTTGCAGCTGGCCAGGAGTGTTTTTAACTCTCCTTCTGTCCTTGGGTCGAAATGACACAAGGACTCAGACTAATGGTGCATTCACACCGAACGCGATTTCAGTGTCAGGAGCAGCAGGTTTACATACAAAGTCTATGGTGGACGCGCTTCAAGCAACGTCGGGAAGTTCTGCGGCGCCTC